TTTGAGTTTATAAGTTTCGTTTCGTAGTGTCACCACCAAATTTCAAGTTATTTTTTTCGATCCCGATAGCTTGCATCGTCGTTTGCCATTTTGGTATGTATACGTCCAAAGTGACCTTCATGTAAGGCTGAGACCACTTATGCTTTCAGTCTTTGGAATAGGTAAAGGAAACTCCACTCTCACATCGCTAGGCTAACGGGTTGAACCTGATTGCTAGATACTGTCATTCAGTTGTGAGTGGGAACAAACACTTTTCCTCTGATTTCCTCATTTTTACAATGGTTCAAGTTCTATAAAGAAGCAATTTGCTTTGCTTAACGAAGCCACTGTAAGCACATTCAGCCATTCCATGATTGTACTTAGAAGATATGTTCCAGAACGACAGTGTTATACCATTCGGAGTTTTTGCAATCCTTTCTGACATTTTAATTGCTCTTGCGCTCGTCCTTCTTCTCCGTCAAAATCAAACAGAATTCGAGGAAACCAAGTCTTTGATAAGAAAACTCATAGTTTACGCCATAAATCGTTGTATCCTAACATCGTACGCTCACATCGTTGCTTTGTTTTACCTCGTCGATCTTACCCTTTTGGTCAGAGTTATTGCTGTGATCGAAGTCGTTCTCGTGAGTGTGGAAACGCCCTTTTTTTCTTCATCTGTGGTTAACATTAGTATCCAATAACCAGTTCATGTCCTTCCCAGGCTCGATGTACTCTTTCGCGTTCGACTTTATCATCGGGAAACGTGCGTGGTCGATCTTATATGTGGAACACTGATAGAGAACCTTTTTAGTCTATGTCAACTCCCTTTTAGCTTCTCTGAATTCACGAAAATCCCTTCGGGGAAGCAAGTCTTTGGAAATCGGAGGTTCCATCCCATTCTCCACTGCGTTACATTTCATGTCAGTACCGGAAAGTGGGTCCGCGGGGAATGAATCGTTCACCAGCGTGAGCAGCAGGCTATTAAATCCTCTGTGTCCCTTGCTTAATCTCTATTCGTGATCTTAGGCGGGAACTACAGACGCACGCCATCGGGTGGCATTCCCTGCCAACATGGTAAGCAATTAATGTGCGGTTCTTTGCCAGTCTGTTGATAGAGTTGCCCACGACAGACTGACTCAGCCGGTTCAACTGGCTCCAAACGCCTTGATGCAAGACGTCGTTCGATGGATGTATAATAAATATTTGTTACTGTATAGATGTGTATAGCAATTTTTTCATCTTAGAGAGAGATAGTTAATCACCGTTAGCCACGCTATCAACCTAATCGGGGTGGTGGAACCCAGCTGATGAAAGATACTGACTACTACGAATTTCAGGTAATTCTTGATTTAGGTCATTATGGTGTTGATCATTCTGCTGCAAGCTTGTTCATACGTTTATCCCTAGTAGTACTTTGCAATTTTACGATGTACCAGAAACTGCGTTGCTTTGAGCACCCTTTGAGAGAAGACAACGCGGCCAGCGAGAACAAGTCGTACGTTTGCCTCGAGTCAAAATCAAGGAGGTTTGGTCGCCGTAAGCGCTCGCAGTGTACTAAATTAGCGCCGATTGACAGATCGGATGCTCGCAAGGAACTCGTACATAGACTGCGTCAGCTACTAAGTATCAGCGCTGTATATCTATTCCGTTCTCCTATTTTTGACCCATTTAGAAATCGTACTTCCTGATTAGACCTTCACTGAGTGTTTACTAGCCGTGTCACATGCTTGTTTCCTCCTTACTTCCATGACACCTCGTTCCTTCAGGCTAATATTCCCTATCTTATTTCTGATCCAATGTTTTATTTGGTCTCGGGGACGATATGGACAACTACAAGTTGGTCTGCAAGAAAGTGAAAGCAGCCTCATAAAACGATACATTGAGGAATTTTCAGGATTTTCGCCGGAAGGAGAGGTATGTGCTTCTTTTATTCACACAGATTGTGATGTACAACCTCAATGATCTATGTAGTGTCGTCCCCTTGACTTTCCTGCGGATCAGCAGTGCGCACATGTATCCGAATCCTGTGAAGGATCCAATACATTTCTTTCCCTGTTATACCTTCGTTTTTATTTCTGCACCGAATCACCTCTACGACCAGCAGCATTTACAGGCCTAGTTGTATGGCTTGTCTTCCTCTTTTCAACTCTGGGTATTAGCGCCTCCGATTTCTTCACTCCTAATCTCGCAGCTATAGCCCAACTTCTTGGTCTTGACGAAAATGTGGCAGGTGTAACGTTTTTAGCTTTTGGAAACGGTGCGTTGGTCCCTAGTGCCTCCAAAACACAGTGAAACCAACTAGAAACTCCAGGTAGTCCCGACGTCTTCTCAACGTTCTCTGCAATGCGTGCAAATTCGGGCAGTCTTGCCATCGGAGAACTTTTGGGCGCTGCGTCATTCATTGTGTCATGCGTGGTGGGCTCAATTTGCATCATCAAGCCTTTTCATGTTCATCGTGGCCCATTCTTACGTGATGTCGGATTCTTCGGAGCAGCTGTCGCTCTTCTCCTCGCTATTCTATGGGACAATGTTATCCATCCATGGGAGGCTGCTATGATGGTCATGCTGTATGTGATCTATGTAGCTACCGTTGTCATTGGTACGTGGTGGATGAAGCGACGACAAAGACGCAGAGAACACGAGGCGTTAGTCCGTTCTGAATATCGAGACGATGAACTATCTCCGTCTTTTGATGTACCATACAGAGATGATCGTAAGCGTTCTGTTCTTGTAGCAATTCGTAGCTCATACTTTATTAGCCACATCCAATAATTCACTCACGGTACCGTCAGCTCCAGCGCGAGTGCGCGCACATTCGTTTCCTGGCCCTCCTCCCATCCAAACAGACCTCCCCAGACGCTCTCACTCCCGATCACCTTCTCCCACACTTGATATCCACACTCCTCGCTTTGCACACATGCCTTCTTTCTCCTTGGTTGGTGCATTAGAGTTCCGTCAAGTAGTCGCTTCGTTGAGAAACGAAGGCTCGGCCTCTTCTCTGAGTATCTTTGATAGTCCAGTCACTCCTTACGCGGGCGGTCACTATCACACACGACCTAGGTCCCGTCCGAGGACTTTCCATGATTATGATCGAGATCCTTGGGATGCAGCATTGGCACTAGATAACCGTGCTCGTACCCCTCAACTCCGTGTAACTACGGCTCCCGACACCCAGCCGAACAGTCCTGAACTTGACCGCAGTGATTATTTTGACGACCCCCGGGCAAGCATGTCCTCTTCCATACCCACTATTTCTCATACTCCTGCTTCTCCAACTGTAACCGAAAGCGATACCGAGTCTCAAAGTCACTCTTATGTTCCCTCCACCCGGTGGCAACGCGTGAAACATGTTATCGGTACCTGTAGCCATACCCTTTTCCCGACTCTTCATAATTTCCGAAGCCTGAGTGTGCTTGGGCAAATTGCTTCTATTTTCGCAGCGCCGGCGGTGATGCTGTTGACCCTTACACTGCCGGTCGTGGTAATACCATATATATCGCCACATAGCTCCAAAGAAAAGCTGCGCAGTAGTCATAGTTTGGTTGATTTCGAAGAAGAGGGCATCGAACGAGTGTTGATAGCCGAAGAAGAAGTAGAAGAAGAAATGCACGGGATAGGATTCAACAAGTGGTTGACAGCGGTACAAGTAATCCTAGCGCCATTATTCTGTATTGGAATACTATTTAGTATGTATCTTCAAATTTTCTCTGTTCATAGCATTGACGAGCGTCAAAACAGGTGGACATGCACACCAGGTTCGGATATTACTCGTTGCTCTTTCCGTTGGGGCCGTAGTAGCTATTGCCATTCTGGTGTTTGCTAAACGAGGTGAAAACATGGCGTTCACAATGGCTCGCTGTTCTTTAGGATTCTTTGTTGCGGTTATTTGGATCATGGCTATTGCAGATGAAGTTGTTCAAGTACTGCAGACATTTGGCTTCATTTTTGGCCTTTCAGACTCTATCATCGGCCTGACGATATTTGCTGTTGGCAACTCGCTTGCAGACTTAGTGGCAAATATGAGTATTGCTGTAAGTCATAACTTGTTTTATTTTGTGGTAGTGTTCGCTCATAAAATATCCAGGTCTTTGCTCCAATTATGGGGTTCTCAGCCTGCTTTGGTGGTCCGATGCTCAATATTCTTCTTGGTGTTGGGATATCTGGGTCCTATATCATTTCGCAGACATCAGAGCCTTACAAAATACGCTTTGGCTCAACATTGCTCGTAAGCAATGTAGGTTTGCTTGTCCTTTTGGCGATGACTGTTATCGTGGTTCCTCTTAATGGGTACTTTTTATCTCGCACATGGGGCATCTTCCTTATACTTTGCTATGTTGCTCTTATGGCTATTAATGTCTTTGTTGAACTTCGGCATTAACAGACTGTCTCCCTTGCCATCTATGTACACGTCCCAGGCATTGATATTGGACGATTACTATCTATCACAAATATTGCTAATGACAATGTATTTTAATTTTGTACGTGGATGTGAGTCCTTAACAACACTCGCTTGATATCGGACCTCCGAGTCGTTCGTTTGAGTACATATCGTTCATCGAAATTACCCGGGGAGAAGTCAATTCCAAGATAATATACAAGCCACCCGAGTACTTTCCTGTAAGCAACGTCGGCAACCGCTCTCACTTTGTTTGTAGCGCGCAACCACGCGAGACTCCACTGCAAGCTCTCTTGCACCCCAGATGCTTGGTGCTTGAGTGACTGTCGGTTACGTTCCTCTGTGTCGCCAGGTTTGCCGCGCCGTGGTATAATACGAAACACTGAATCGTGGGAAACACTGACATGATGTTCACCTGATGTTCCCATTCCCAAAAATTTGAAAAATCAGTTCCATGCTCGTAAAGTGTGGCCACCGTCGAGGAAAATTCCCTTCTATCTACGCAAGCCAGATGCAAAGTGTAGTACTTGATTAAGCTCCCGATTATTCGCTATTTTTTCAAGCTCAAAAATTATCCGTACATGTTTTGGCAAAATAATGAAAGGGCTATGTAACCATCTTCCCATCCGACCTGCCTGGTTCGAACAGGCGACCCCGAGATAAAGTATTTAGCCGGTTACAGTCTCGTGCTCTTCCAACTGAGCTAAGGTCGGGTTCATTGATAGCGAAAGAATGGCTAGCTCGAGAGCAAAACTACCAAGTGTACCGCCAATAGCTTGTTCCCCGCCAAAGCTCGTCCAAAGAATCTTTTGCACCTCCCGACTTTTTCGTGCTTATGAGGCAACAGATCAGAGGATGAATTTGAAAGGCAAAGGAGAGTTTAGGAGGAAGATGGGGGGCGGATGATGGTGTCTATATTATCCGAAGGGGTACGAAGAGGTACGAAGAGGGCTAAATCTTTTACTTTTCCGTATTTCATTTTCCCGCCACTCGCTCACTCTGTTGTTCATTCGTGACTACTTACCCGCATAGAATATTACCACCAGCGATCTGACAATACACATTTTCCCGGATATTGTAGATACCCAGATATATAGAAAATATGTGCATAGACTCAATGTTTTTATTTTAAATTGATTTTCAAAATACAAAGCACTTCTCTCCCGTTTCGTCACCGTGTTCCGTCGACTGTGAATCACGAGCTAAACCCATCCATCCAATCATCCGAATCACTCCAAGTCTCTACCTCACGAGGTAAAACTCTCACAGTGAGTGCGACTTTTGTGTTGAGCTACTAGGCTTCAGCAGAAGGGTGGAGGCGATGCTGGTGTAGTACCCCTGCAAAATTGGAAAGAGAGAGCTCAAAGCTGGGAGCAGACTTGTTATCCTGATGCTGAGCGCTTTGGGTCTCGTCGCATTATTCCTCAGAGACCATCCATATATGTAGCTGACTTTCTTAATATATGGATTAGACACAACACTGGATAATCATATGACCGTGACTCTAGCGACATGTTCTCCGACTTAAGACACGTCAGGCTACTCACGCGTCGACCAAACAATGACGCGTCTGATGAACGAGCTTTACCCTTTTTGACAATTACTTGACACCCATCCTCCGCTTGACCCCGGACAAAATATCGGACTAACATTATTTACGTAGCGTCGCGAGAATCTCCAGGTTTGCTGGCTTGAAGTCTAACATCAACCGCCGCACGAAAAATAAATTTAAATCTGGCGCCTTCGCTCCCCCTAAATGATGGCTGTCACTGGTCGTATTGAAATCAAACCTCCCACCGCATCTCTTGCACCGCCCAACTTTTTATGGACAGTACACAGAAAGCAGCGATGATGATATGATTGAAGCAGGGCGTCTCCAAAATCAAAACCTTTTTCTGCGAACGTACCACAGTATGAATGTTGGAGTACTACTCCGTACGCTCTATTGGGACAGTATTCCCCGCTTTGACATATCATTTTCATATACGCCGTGTTTACCGATAACTGTACAGTACCTACCTTATCACGTTCGACGGCGTCTTCGAGCCACCTCAGTTGGTTTCCATTCAACTGAGGTGAGCTTTGTTCGTATATACTTTATGCTTAAACCATTCACTAATAATCTCATAGCGTAGTTGACTTCTACAGGTACATATATCAATATACCAGTTGGTTTCCATTCAACTGAGCGTAGTTGACTTCTACAATGACTTTGGGCGAGACCATGACTGGTGGATTTAAGAAATTAAGGAAGTTTAGCCCACTGCATGAATTGAGCACGCAATAAAATGGACAGTGAGTAAATCATGAACGTGTTCGGGCTCATCGGACCAACGGTCCGCAGTTTTGTTATTTCCATCATCATGCCCGCCAAGAAGAATCGCGACAAGTCCGATAAGGTTCCTGCTGCTGAACCAGCGCCTGTGGCTTCAGAGGAAGCGGAAGGGCCACCACCACCAGAGCCAAAACCCCCGGTTCAAGTCCTGTATTGCGGAGGTCTGAGTGCTTCAGTCACTTCTCAAACCCATCGAGACACTGAGGGCTCGGCTGTTCCTTCTAGTCTGCACATTTCCCGTGGAATACTGCGAATTCGGGGAACATATAACGCGATGCAAAGAATGGTTACAAGAAAAGGACATCGATGTGTATAACAAGTACTATTCTGAAGGTGCGCTTCAGTACGGATAACCAGCTGCCTACTGATAAATGAATATTCACAGAGGCTCTACAGGCCAAGATAGGAACATTGAGCTTGGAAGCACAGACAAAGCTAGAGAAGGATACTGCTAAAAAGGAAGCTAAAGCCGAGGCTAAAGCTGATGCTGCATTGAAGAAGAAGTTGGCGTCGCAGGTCCGTTATCACAAATTGCTATATACTCAATCACCGATCTGTAAAACTACCAGATCACTATCAAAAGGATTGAGCGCAACAAGCGGAAACATGTCACCGCCATACATGGGCTTGAAGCGTTTGGCATCGATCTCAAAAAAGCCGCCAAACAGTTTGCATCCAAATTTGCCACAGGTGCATCTGTCACAAAGAATCCTCAAGGTCAAGAGGAAATCGTGGTCCAGGGAGATGTGAGCGATGAAGTCCTTGAGATGATCGAGGGAGAGGTGGGTCTTCTCAAGGGCATTCCAGCGGATAATGTGGAAATAGTGGAAGAAAAGAAAAAGAAAGGCGGAGACTAATCTCAAAACCTCTCTGTACATGTACTACGAATTGCCATGCGATGCGACTATGTACCTTGTGTAAAATTAAGCAGTGATTCCGACTAATGGTATGGAGTAGAGAAGATTCAGTCAAAGACATTACGGTCATAACTCAAGTCGTAGATAGCAAATAAAAACTTGAAACCGACAGTTTCACATTACAACACACCATTTTTCCTTCTTCTCTTTGCTACCTTCAGCAACTTCAGCCCCCTCGACAGCCGCAGGTTCAGAAACGGAAGGCACTGGTGCAATGGAAGACAAAGGTCCTTCGGTTGGAGATAAAGCTTTCGGCGAAATAATCTCTCCTTGAGCATTGTCCAGAGATGCTCTTCCAGCGGGAGGTCTTGAGAACCAACCCCCTGGGAAGAATAACGACGAAGCTGTGGATTCAAGTCTCTTGCGTTCTTTGGTCACAGTAAGAGTATCTCCCACTTGGCTTTATTTAACCCTAGTCAGCAAAAATGGAGCGTAAGATTAAAGGGGTACTTACTCTGTATTTTCAGCTTCTTCGATGGTCGGGAATGCCTCACTAGAGCTAGTAGGTTCTTTACTACTGGCGACCAGCTCTTGACCGGCGGATGTACTAGGGGCCTCTCCATCCTGGGAAACGGCCTGTACATGTTAATTTGTGCAAGCGCGGAAGCAACACTGATACTTACAGTTGGACTCTGAGCACTCGGAGGAGGTAATTGCTCTATTTTCTCAAGTTCGGACTCATCTTTCGTCTCATTAAACACTCGGGATCCCTGCCTAGACACCGAGTAAGAAGGCGTCCACGGAGATTTAGGTCGTTCGGGAGCGTCGCTCTGGGTGGTGTCCACCGTCAACTATTGCGAAACTTAGCGGAAACTAAGTGAAGCACAATGGGAACATACCTTGGACTTGTCCGCAGAGACTCTGTCTTCCTTAGGTTCTGCCTCCTTGGGTTCTGCCTCCGTAGGTTCTACCTCCTCAGGAACTGGCTCCTGAACACTTTCTGCTGCAGGTATATCAGCGATAAACGATGCAAGCTCCTCAACATCTTCAACAACCGCAGGCTCTTCCAAGGGAGTTTTCGAGCCGGATTGATTCGTCACCTCATACGAACCCCATGGTGATTTGGGCCTCTCCATTCCAACAGCCTCCGACGGAGAAAGAGCTGTGGAAACTGGCACGCTTTCATCAGTGACATCGCTAGACACTACAGGTGTGCCCTGAGAACATGCACCAAACACGTTGTCAGTTCATGAAGTTAAATGTTCCGTAAAGAAAGGTTAACATACGTTGTCTTGCTTGTTATCAGGCTGTCGAAATGCTATATAAGATTCTGCAGGTAAGGGTCAGAGCAGAAACACACCTCTTCCACAAACTGATCCTTTTCAACAGAGAGTATCTCAGCAGATGGTTCAATATCGAATTCAGGCTGAGCTGGGAGAGTAAGCTCGGGGACTGGAGAAAACATAGATGATTCAGTTGGTGCGCTCGCCAGGTTATCCGAATTCAAGTTCGCCGACAATAGTTCTCTAGGTTCCTCGACGCTCTCGTCTTTTGAGTCGGAGTTGCTGAAGATAGAGTCAACATTTGGTACCGAATCTTCAAGGGCCAAAACAGGTGCGGCGATTGCATCAAAGTCAGTGGCAACAGCAGATTCCGTCGAATCTGCGGGTGCTTCACCAGACACTGAAAATTCGGGGGCAGATTCTTCCTCGAATTTCTGGGATTCAGTAAACTCTGCACTTCCATTGATAATTGATTCTAATCTAGCAGAACCATAATCGGTTGGAACGGATTCTACTTGTGAATCGAAGCTTTGATCGATGATTTCTTTCTCCTTGGGCAGGTCGGTGGCAACGAGTACAGGGCTGGCATGAGCAGAAACGGAAGGACTGCCTTGGATAGAGACAGAATACGAGGACACCCAAGGCGATGACGGCCTCGATGGAACACTCTTTGCTTCGACCTAAGAAATTTTCATTAGCGATACAAAACCATAAGAATAACCAAACTTACATTGGCAGCGGGAACATCAACCTCCTCGTCCGTGACTTGAACAGCTGGTATTTGGGTCTCTGCGCCAGTCGTGATAGTTGAGGGAAGCTGCTCGATTTCTGGGATGTCTTCTTCTTTATCTATTCCAGGACCTTGACTGGTAACACTGTATGAAGGCGTCCAGGGGGACTTGGGCCGTTCGATTTCAGGAGTGTTGACACTCAGGTTCGAGGTATCGATTTCGCCAAGCGACTGCGCCGAAGCTACGTCCTCGACGTCGTGAGAAGGGGGTTCAGCGACAGCAACTTCTGCGCTTGCAGTTTCCGGGGTGGGTTCAATGTCACTATCAACAGTGATTTCTGCATTCGCTGTAGAACGTTCCATTGCTTCAACTTCAGCTACCTCCAGAGGCTGCACTGCATCCACCTCATTGACTTTTGACTCGATGTCATCAGAGTTTACAACCAACGTCCCTTCAGCCTCAATTGAGCTAAGACCAGCCTCCAACGATTCCGGAGAAACGTTATCT